GGAATATTATGCAGCCATCAAAAGGAATGAGATCTTGCCATTTGCAACGACGTGGATGGAACTGGAGGGTGTTATGCTGAGTGAAATAAGTCAATCAGAGAAAGACATGTATCATATGACCTCACTGATATGAGGAATTCTTAATCTCAGGAAACAAACTGAGTGTTACTGGAGTGGTTGGGGGTGGGAGGGATGGGGTGGCTGGGTGATAGACATTGGGGAGGGTATGTGCTACGGTGAGCGCTGTGAATTGTGCAAGACTGTTGAATCACAGACCTGTACCTCTGAAACAAATAATGCAATATATGTTAAGAAAAAAGAAAAAGATAGCAGGAGGGGAAGAATAGTAAGTCAGAGGGGGAGACGAACCATGAGAGACAATGGACTCTGAAAAACAAACTGAGGGTTCTAGAGGGGAGGGGAGTGGGGGGATGGGTTAGCCTGGTGATGGGTAGTAAAGAGGGCACGTACTGCATGGAGCACTGGGTGTTATACACAAACAATGAATCGTGGAACACTACATCACAAACTAATGATGTAATGTATGGTGATTAACATAACAATAAAAAATTTTAAAAAATTGTGCTTGTTAATAATGAACATGAAATTCTGAGAACACTACCTGATTACCTAGTAGGTGCTGTTAGCTTTGTTTATCTCACTGATTTCTTCCCTTTAAAATATTTAAGAGTAGTTACAGGCTGACAAAAAATTAACAGCTAATATAAGCTTTATAGTTCATTAAGATTGGAATATATTCATATAATGAAAATTACAAATATATTCCAATTTATTTTATACTGTAATCTCTGTCTGCCCATTCAAAAGCCCTGAAAAAATGGGTCAGTGGGAACTCCTATAAGCCTCAAATAAAAGGGGCTATCATTCCTCACATGTGATTCTTCAAAGACTATAATAATCCTTTTTTTATTGTTATGTATATCTTAATAATTGTTCCTTCTCTTTCATTTTATTATTTTTAAAACATTTATTACATTTGCTAGGTTGTGTTTTTTTTCAGACTTTCCTGTCTAAACATAGCTCTAAATTTCAAAGGCCAAATGAGCCCTCTTAACATTCCTAAAGATAAAAATAATAATGATGGACACATAAATTTAGAAAGTTAAAAGTACAGAAGGCATTCTGGTAAGCAGGATAAGGTCCCCCTTCCCACCTCCACAGAGTCCACGTCCTAATCTGCTGAGGTTGTGAATGTTACTTTACATGGCAAAACAGACTTTGCACATGTCATTACTAGAAGGAGCTTGAGAAGGGGAGATTATCCTGGATGATGCAGTGGGCCCAGGGTAACCACAAAAGTCACTGAAAGTGGAAGAGAAGGGCAGTTGGGGTGATCAGAATGATGCGATGGGAGATTCTGCCTGCCTTTGTTGGCTTTGGAGATGGAGGGAAGGGCCATGGGCCAAGGAATGTGGGCAGTCCCTAGCATCTGGAAGGTGCAAGAAGATACTTACATCATCCTCTTTAGTTCCGCCCCAAAAGTTAGTGCCTCCCGCATAGCTGGGAATGTTCAACACTGCTATTCCTTGCAGACTGGGGAGAGGAATATACTGCCCATCACACTGTAAGGTAAAAAGCTTAGAGGTTAGACAAAAAGAGCAAAACTGCTAGTTGGGAAGCCACTCGAATACCCAAGACAAAGGATGATGGTGTGAAGTGTATTGGTAATGTTTGCTTCTCCTGTAAATACATTCCTACACGTTACCTTTCTCTCTCTTTTTTTTAATTAAAAAAATTTAAAGTGTATATTCCTATGGCAGAAGTTGTAACAGAACACCGACTCAAAATAATGTTTTACCTCTTCTTTCTGTCAAAATCAGGCAGTACTTTTCTGGAGTTTTTTTCAGATCACTTACGATATTCTCACTTGCATTATGGTCACCTTTGTGCTTATGTCCAGTGTTTTTTGGAAGCAGGTTCAGTGAGGGCTTCTGGGTCCCAACCACCTCATCTAGCACCTTTCTCAACTCCTGGTACCCTGCGCCTGCTCTGTAACTACCTGGTGGCTGGCCAGACTCAAAGCTGAGTTTCTCAAGCAGTCAGAACCAAAACCAAGGAAAGAAACACCATGCATGCCGGGAAGTATCTTAAACTCTGTGTCTTCTAATTAATCACTTAAATGAAAATTAAAATTACCACTTAAGTACGGAAAAATTTTCCTCTGGCTGGTGAGTAAATTATACATGACAGGTAAGCAAATTCTTACTGAATTGAAGGTTTAATCCTTCATTTTAAAAGAGGAGAGCTTGCAGATGTCATACTTACAATAGATGCTATGGTTTCATTAATTCTTACAATAAAAAGTAATTAACATAACTTTATAAAACTTGCATTTTAATGCCCCATCGAAATGATCTCCGAACTTCAGAACAAATGAAAATCCAGTTTCAATCCATTTTTCAACCATTTTAAATAACTAAGAATATCTTCTACTTGATTGTACTCCTTCACGCATTTTTTACATTTTCTTTTTCCTAAAAATACATTCAAAGGTTTATACTCTATCCCAGCACCTAGGGCCATTCCTGGCACACAGCTAATGCTCAATGTGTATTTATTAAAGTGAACAAACATTAAGTATTGAGTAGAATAATAAACTTTTTCTGAATCCAATAAATTGAACAGGTATCTTTGTGTGCTTTAGAACAAGCTGTTTAAATCATATAACTAACTTAAAGGAAATGAAAGAAATGCCAGTAACATCCATCTTAATTTCATAGCGATGATAGATCAAACCAGCTGATCATGTGCTTGTGCTCTATAAGGGAAGGTATAGTGAGTTTATCTTTACTAGGACATTGAGTTGATAATGAATGAGCCAGGCACTTCCGTAGTCCGCATTCCAGTGTAAAGATAACACCTAAAAAATTAATGCTCCTGTTTAATTTAATGAGCTGTAGACAAGATTTGCACACTTTTCTGTACCTAGGCTACACCTTAACTAAAAATATCTGGTTATAAAAAGATACAAGATAGGAAAGACATGTGTATCAGCATCACCTATGAATCCTGGACCAACAGTGAAAGAAAATAAAATTCACAGAAGTTAATAGACTTTTCAGAGCCATGTCCCCAATCTTCTTTTCCCTGTTAGTGAAGGAGAGTAAATAACTTGCTGTCCTTAATTTCCTCTTTAAATTAGTAAAACATACTAAAAAATTTAAATGCTCAAAATCTCTTTTTATTTTACTATTGTTAGAATTAGAACAAATGCACATTTAAATTAAAAGAGTCTTTATACTATGAATGTTTTTTCAGGGATTTGTGAAATGTCAGGCATTATAGAATTGGGCCAGAATTTGTAAACTTAAATGAAAAAATCTGTGGGCATTCGTTAGAAATGGTCTCCTATAGGGGCGCCTGGGTGTTAAGCGTCTGCCTTCAGCTCAGGTCATGGTCCCAGTGTCCTGTGATTGAGCCCCACATCAGGCTCCCTGCTCCACAGGAAGCCTGCTTCTCCCTCTCCCACTCCCCCTGCTTGTGTTCCCTCTCACGCTCTCTCTCTCTGTCAATTAAATAAATAAAAACTTAAAAAAAAAAAAGAAATGCTCCCCTATAAATGTCCTCATCATAGCCCCACCTTCTCACGGAGCACCATGACTCCACAGAACCACCCACATTTCAGGAGCTAATGATAATGATAATTAAGTGTGTCATTCATATCCAGTGTCTATACCTCCTTTAGTATGAAGTTGATAATCACCTCCATTGAGTGTTTAAACACTTGAAGAGGCATGTAGGCCAAATTAGCTCTGCAAATATAATTATTTTTCTAAGTAAGATAATCTGAACTATCTTTACTTCAAGATAAACTTACCTCAAGTTGAACCCTCTGTTCTAAATTCTTATACGATCTCTGTAATAACTCCCGGGTTCCAAGGACTCCATACCACATCAAGTTTTTAGTTCGGCTCCTGAAATAAATATTGGCAGACAATTTAATAGCTATTATTGATTTACTCTTTAAAGGCAGAGCGAGCAAAAGAGCTAATAAATGAAATTAAAGTGAAATTACCTTCATGTAATAACATTACTACTATTACCAAAATTACCTGCATTTTTCAGGGTGCTCCTCTCTCTTGTTATTAAATTCTAATGAAATTTTTGCATCTAATCCAATCCCAAAGTAATTGTTCATGACACATTTTTCTGAATATCCATCTCTGTGATAATAAGGAAACGTACATAAAAGTCAACTTCAGATTCATAACAATTATAATTTGCACACAAAATAGCACTTAAAAGCATTTAAGCTTCCATGCCTTATAGATGAGAGTAAAACTTAGCAGGAATTATCTCCTAGTCATAGGTCATGTGCACAAGCCCAGAACATATATGTCATTTTTGGTACATATGATATAAAGGGATAGTGAACAAGGCAAAGCAGAGACAGAGTCATGGTAATGCTTTTCTATTAATTGTAATAAAACCTTAGTTCTGCTTCCTGTGTAAGACCCTCACCAAACACACAAATGGGAGGGCCTTGCAGTCAGGTGCCAATGCTCTTTTTTTGATCACTAGAAATTTTTCTCCACTTGTACTCTTATCAATGGACAAATATTTACTGAGCAGTAAAATGACTAGGTCCAGTCCATCTTCTGGGTGCTTTGGAAAGTACAAAGAAGTTTAAAATATGGTACTGTCTTTGAGGAGTGTCATTAGAGAAATGAGGTATAACAAAAGCAAAATTTAATATGAAAGTAAAAGCTCATATTGAACTGCCAAAAAAAAACCCCTGTAGTTTTAAGAAGGGAAGAGATCAATGTGGGCCAGAAGCTTCTTGAAATAAATCAACCTAGAAGCTGGATGGGGAAAGATGAGAGATTTGGCAACACTGAGAAGAAAGGAGGAAAAAGGAATAGAAAAAAAAATGGTTATGAAGGTGCCGATGAATACAATATTCTAGGGGAAAGTGAATACAGCTGTGCCTCATTTTGCCATAGGGTTGTGATCCTACACATGGGTCCTGTCCAGCCCATGAGACAATCGGCCGGACAGGACCTACCTCAGGAAGAGATCATGAAAACAAATGTGTTTCAAATGCATCAATGTACTCATCATTATCAACTTTTGGAATTTTCTAATGAGCCTCTTTGTATGGGGAGCCAAATTTCTTGTAATGCATTGACAATGTTACCATCAGTATAAAGGAGAAACAAGAAAAGCCAAAACAAGATATTTACAAAAATATTTTCTTACACTGAATCTGGATCTGGGTCAATAAATGGCGTTGCACCAAAAGGATCAATATTTGCTAGTAACATTTTGTTGATTATAGAACTCCCAGCAATCGAGGCAGCTAATCCTGCTCTTAAACCTGGCCAGAAAAATAAAGACATACAAGATCACATGTTAAGTAAAAAGACAGAGAAAGAGCCAGTGCATTGTTTTCAGGCCTAATCTCAGACACCTTGCCCCAAAGCATGGTTTTCAGTGTCTGCTCTTCTCATTAGTCAAAACTAAGAACTATGACATTGGTAATTACAAGATTTTTGAGGCTTCTTAGGATCTACACGTTGTCATAAAAATGCAGCAGATGAAGACCCAAATAAGAGTTTCTTTGTGACAGTTCCTCACTTACCATTCTAGTGATTCTATAACTTCAACAAATAAATATTACTTCCTTTGTTACAGTAAATAAGATGGTAGTCTATAAGGAATTTACGATAAAGGCTGAATTACCAAGAATGTCACAGAGTTACCACTTCCATATTCTCAAAGCATAGATAATAATATTCAATTAAAAATATTAACAGAGGGGCGCCTGGGTGGCTCAGTCGGTTAAGCATCTGCCTTCGGCTCAGGTCATGACCCCAGGGTCCTGGGATTGAGCCCTGCATTGGGGTCCCCACTCAGCAGGGAGGCGAGTCTATTTGTTCTTCTCCCTCTCTCTCTCTGCCCCTCCCCTGCTCATGCTCTCTCTCTCTTTCCAATAAATAAATAAAATCTTTGGGGAAAAAAATTAACGGACATACACAAAACTCAGTGTTAGTGTCAAGAGTACAAAAATATTAAACACAGGTATTTATGAATTTAAGAAAAATACAGCATTTATCTTACCTCCAAATATGTAAAACTTCAAGTTTATTTCAACAACTAGTTAGTTTTCTACAAGGTAATTATGATGTTCAAAGCTAATTAATTTTATGATCTACATAACTAATTGTTGATGCTAGAAGCATTAAACTCTGAAAAGAAGACAAAGTAATAGGGGCCTAAGAGAACAAACAAAAAGGAAAGAAGAGGGAGGAAAAATATGTCATGGAATACAGAAACACTGGGATATTAGAAGAAAAAGTCCTTGAGCAAACATTCTTTTCCTCAGCTGTGTACTCGTCTTAGAAGATTATTATTCCTTATTTTAGCTACAAAGTTGAACTGATTATCAAATAATCAAGATGAATTTTATTCTCTCATTTAATTTCATAGTTTTGAACGGGCTATAGCATACTTAGTTATGCCAGTTTCTTTTATCTCTAAATAAGTGAATAAATGAACAAAACAACCATTCTGGTGAGGAAAATAAGAACAGTTTGGAGATGTGAAGAGTCAAACTCCAGCTGCCCCAAAGAAAAGTATATTTTCTTTTTTTAAAAAAAAGCTTTTATTTTTCATTTATTTTAGGAGAGAGAGCAAGAACAAGCACTGGGGGGTGGGGCAGAGGGAGAGAGATTTTCCGCACTAAGCGTGGAGCTGAAACCAGGAGTGGGAGACCTAACTCACTATGTTGCCCAGGCGCCCCTAATAGTATAATATTTTAAGGTTAGCCATATTCACAGCTTTAGCCCAGAAAGGTCATCCCACGGTTCCAGGTTTAAATAGAGATATAACCTCTAGACAAGGAGGCCTTTCCAGAATCAAACATGTTCTGCATTTATCTTTTTTTATTTTAATGTTTCATTGAGATATAATTCACATACCATAAAATTCACCTTTTAAGTAAGTGTATGATTCAGCCGTTTGTATTATATACACAAAGTTGTGTAATGATCAGTACCACCTAATTTAGAATATATTTTTTAAAGATTTATTTATTTGAGGGAGAGAGCGCACGCACACATGCGAACAAGCAGGGGGAGGGGCAGAGGGAGAAGGAAAAGCAGACTACCCACTGAGCAGGGAGCCCGATGCAAGGCTTGATCTCAGGACCCTGGGATCATGACCTGAGCCAAAGGCAGACGCTTAACCTACTGAGCCACCCAGGCATCCCTAGAACATTTTTTTATTACCCTCAAAGAAACCCCATACCTGTTGGTAGTCATTTTCCTTTCCCTCCACTCCCTACATCCCCAGACCCTGGAAACCACTAACCTACTTTCTTTCCCTGTGGATTTGACTATTCTGAACATATTGTACAAATGTAATCACATAATGTGTGGCTTTTTGTGTCAAGCTTCTTTCACTTGGCATAACATGTTAGGAGGTAAGCATGTTGTGGTATTTACCAGTGCTTTGTTCTTTTTAAAGGCTGAATAATAGTCCACTGTATGGATACTGCACATTTTGTTTCTCCATCAACTGATGATTACTTGAGTTGTTTCTTCTATTTGGCCATTATGAATAATGTTGCTCTAAAACGATCATGTGCAAGGTTTTGTGTAGACATATATTTTTAATTCTCATGGGTCTATAACAAGGAGTTGTTTTCTGGGTTATATGTTAACTCTGTGTTTAATTCTTTGAGGAACTGCCAAACTGTTTTTCCAAATGGCTGTACCATTTCATATTCTAACCAGCAATGTATAGAAGTTCCAATTTTTCAATGCCCTTGCCAATATTTGTTATTATCTGTCCTTTTTGATCATAGCCATCCCAGTAAGGTAAAATGGTATCTCATTGTGGTTTTGATTTGCATTACCCTGATGACTAATAATAGTGAGCATCTTTTCATGTGCATATTGGCCATTTGTGTATCTTTTTGGAAGTGTCTACTCAGATCCTTCGCCTATTTTTAAATTGAGGTATTTGTCTTTTCATTGTTGAATTTTAAGAGTTCTTTATATATTCTGAGTACTAGTCCCTTATCAGGTATGCCATTTACAACTATTTTCTCCTGTCCTATAGATTGTCTCCTTCCTTCCTTCCCTCTTTCTTTCCTTCCTTCCTTCCATCCACTCATTTGTTCTTTTTGATTTATGAGAGAAAATAGTTTTTGTTTTTTGTTTTGTTTTGTTTTTAGACAGAGCATGCAGTGGGGAGGGGCAGAGGGAGAGGGAGAGAAGAGAGAATCCATGTTGGGCATGGAGCCCGATGCAGGGCTCAATCTCACAACACTGAGATCATGACCTAAGCTAAAATCGAGAGTTGGACACTTAACCGATTGAGCCACCCAGGCACCCCGAGAGAACAAAGTCTTATGGAAAGCCACAACCACCCAGAATTTGCAAAAACTAAAAGTAAATGTACCATTTTGATGATGGCAGGTTATCAGTTGATCAGACCAACTACCCCTCCTCACAATGAGGGCAAATAGAAAAGCTGAGCAAAATGTAAAATGAATTCATTTGAAGATCCTAAAGAGGTAGACCAATGATGGCTTACCAGCTAACCATTAGAAAAGGAAAATGACTTAGTCAGGTGAGCCCAGGACTTAGGCATAGATTATTTTTGTTTTATTTTGTTTTTGGTTTTGTTTTGTTTTTACTTTTTATTTTATTGTGAACACGTAACATGAGATCTATCCTCTTAACAAATTTTTAAGTATACAAGGCAGTATTGTTAACTATAGGTACAATGTTGTACACAGCAGATCTCTAGAACTTATTCACCTTCCTTAACTGAAACTTTATGCATGCTGGCCTGTTCTTTGTAGGAAGTTTTGTTATAGGTCTAGTTGGATTTTCTATTCTTTTATTTTTTTTAAGATTATCTATTTATTTGACAAAGAGACAGAGAGAGAGAGCACAAGCAGGGGGAGTGGGAGAGGGAGAAACAAGCTCCCCGCTGAGCAGGGAGCCCGAAGCGGGGCTCGATCCCAGGACCCTGGGATCATGATGTGAGCCAAAGGCAGCTGCCCAACCAACTGAGCCACCCAGGCGCCCTGGATTTTCTATTCTTGAATCAGTTTTGGTAGTTTGCACGTCTCCAGGAGTTGGTCCATTTCAACGACGTTATCTAATTTGCTGGCACATAATATTTGATAATTTTCCCTTATAATCCTTTCTATTTCTGTAAGGTTGTTAGTGATGTCTCTCCTCTATCATTCCTGATTTCAGTAGTTCAAATCTTCTCTTTTTATTTCCTTGGTCTCTCTAGCAAAGGCTTATCAATTTGTTAAGCTGATCACAGAATCAACTTTTGGTTTCATTGATTTTCTGTATTGATTTCTATTCTCTATGTCATTTATTTCCACACCAAACTGTATTATTTCTTTCCTGCTCATTGCTTTGGGTATGTTTGTTCTTCCTTTTCCAGTTTATTAAGGTGGAGAATTAGATTTTGAGATCTTTCTACCTTTTAATATAGGCATTTACAGCTATAAATTTCACTCTAAGCACTTCTTTAGCTGTATCAAGTAAGTTCTGGTGTGGTGTATTTTTGTTTTCCTTCATATCAAAGTATTTAAAAATTTTTCTTCTGATTTTTTTTCTTTGACCCACATATGTCCATGTATTTGTACATTTCCAAAATTTCCTTCTGTTATGGATTTCTAAATTCATTCCACTGTGGTAAAAAATCGTCCTTTGTATAATTTCAATCCTTTTAAATTTACTGAGAATTGTTTGATGGCCTAATATACGATCCATCCTGGAAAACGTTCCATGAGCATTAGACAAGAATGTATATTCTGCTGTTATTAGGTGGAGTGTTCTGTAGGACACCTGTTAGGTCTGCTTGTTTTATACGTTTTTCAAATCTTCTATTTCCTTGTTGATTTTTGTTTAGTTGTTCTATCCACTATCGAAAGTGCGATAATAAAATCTCCAACTATTATTATTGAATTGTGATTCACCTTGTAGGACAGACTGATTTTCAGGGTGTAATTTGGGATCCAATCGACTCTGGAATAAATCTGGAGCATTTTCACTAAGTCAAACAACTGGTACTTAAGGAGACATCAGAGGCATCTGTATTTTCCTCCTCCCCGGCTGCACACGTTCTTTGCTTTCCACTAGTACTAACCCAATCCCAAGGTCAATTCATCTCATCAGAGCTGGAATAGCAGTCTCAGATGTTCTGAAAGGAAGCAATGTTACTAGTCTAAAAATGACAGAGAGACTTGTGGCTTACAACAAAGAGGAAAGCTGTGGAGATACCTAAGAGGTAGTGGAATATAGGATCAGATTTACCCTGGGTGCTTAATAAATGCAGATTCCTGCGCTGCATTCTAGTATAACTCAATTAAAATTTCTCAGGGCAGGGCCCCAAAACATGTATTTTAGTACTTCATAGACAATTCTTACACACACACACACACACACACACACACACAAGTCTAAGATCTGGAGTCTGGTTGATAAGAGTGACAAGAACATTCTCCTCAAGGGACATTCATCTCTAAGAACACATTTCTGTAGTGCATGGAAATGAGTACTTAATACATTTTCACAGAAATACTTAAAAATACGCCATGTTTCAGAATCTATACTACCTGGGCAGATTATTCTGGTGTTGAGCACAGGGAGGTTTTCTTTGCTGGCTGCCACAGCTGGACCAGAGCCAGAGTCAGTTTGGGAACGACTTGCCCGGCCATCTGGAGACCGAGGTGCAGGTGCAGTTTTAACTGTTGGCAAAAGGTCCCGATTATAAAAAAAAAAAAAACAAAGGTAATAATAAAGTTATAAGAATAAGAAAGCCCTGATAAATGCAGGACATAAAATAATTCAATGCACGTTTAAATCAATTAGCAGAACTGAAAATATTACATTGTGTTTACCTATTCTTCTACCATTGTTTTCACTTCTTTGAGATTCGGCCACAGGTAGATGTCCTGATAGCTCATTTCAAACAGATGGAGATTAGTAGAAAATACAGGCCTACCATAATTAAAGGTCAGTAATACTCATAATTTGAATGTGGCCAACCCATATTTAAAGATAAAAAGAAATTTTGAAGACTGATGATTTTTGAAAATGCTACATATGTGTTATAATGTATACTATCAGTGTAATCCTTTTGTCATAAACGTTGGGTGAATAATCAAATTTAATTAATGTAATCCCAGAGCTAAGATGTGAAACATGAGTTAACATTGTCTTCCATACAGGAAAGGAAAAATGGTATTTTTTTTCAAATGAAACCAATGTATGTTTTCCTGCACTTCTCAACTAACTACATATTCAAAACAAAATTTTGCCCAAAACAGGTCTATCATATTCTTTCAAATGTTCAATACATTTAAAAAATTATTCCAAAACAGAATTACTCCTAAAGTCAACAAAAAAAGAGATTTAATTCTGTCTAAACTAGGGCAATTTAATGGAGAACAAATAGTATCTTTAACTAATTTAGGAGCTATTGGCAGGTGTTTAAAAAAAACAGTATTCCTCAAACTCAATTTAAAAATACTCAAAAATTTAATTATCTTTACTCTCCCTAAGACTAATTACAAACTAACCATATCAATCTTACACTCTCTTTTTCTTCAAAAACAGTCCAGTTGCACTAAAGAAAAGTAGCAGACAGACACTTTTTTTTGGACAGATGCGAGACCTGGAGCTAATTTCTAATAAAAACAACCTTTTGATATTCGTCTCTGATAAAAACCAGAGAGCATCTTAGTGACTAAGATTGATGTAACATTGCAGGTAACTAAATTAATGTTTCATGGTTCTTCTTAAACATAACATCTCATTGATCATATTAATATACTGTATTGTACATCTCAGGCATATGAATCATTGCATAATTTAATAATACAATGAATGCTCTTCAAAAAGTAATGATTATTTAATACAGAAATACTTCCATTACTACTGATTCCCACTAAATTGGATTACTAGTTAGAAAATAAGATCAAATATTGCAACATTAAGGTATCCAATGTTGCAATATGTGTAAGTTTATGTCTATTTCAATATCAATATTTATAGCTGCATAACTTTATTTTTTAGTTTTCTTTGCAGACTACAATGGAAGTGTTCAGTTCATGAGAATATAGTAAGATGTGATGGTAGCCGGTTGGAAAATCATTAGCAATGAGCGCTGGAAAGCCAATCCTCCAAAGAAACCATGCCTTATCTTAAGGGAAATGATCAAGCAGCATACTTTAAGAATGCCATTGTCAGCCCTGCTTAAGTCAGCATTATTAATGGATGAAGACATACAAGTCCTGCTAATTAAACTCTAGATGAAGTAAGTTTGAGATGATACAATCAAGCTTCAAAAGATTTTGACAGGGTGTGTGTGTGTGTGTGTGTGTGTGTGTGTGTGTGTGTGTGTGTGTGTGTGTGTGGTGAGAGACAGGAGGGAGGCTGTGCTCTGGGTGGAGGCTTCGGCTGCCTAAACTTTCAGGGTCACCGAGCAGGCAGAATTGAAGTTAGAGCTGCAGCAGGACTTCCCAACGGTGACTTCTCATCAAAATGGGGAAGAAAAGAAGGAAGGTCAATTAGGTTGGGAGAAGGAAACCCAAAAAGTCTATGGCCTGAAATCTGGGCCCTGAGTGTCTGGCACTCAGTCGTGGTTGCATGAATGGTGCCTATGAGTGTTGTCAACGTGTGGAGGAGGGCACATTAAAGGCCGGGAGAGCAGTGTGCGCAGCAGTCCAAGCAAGAGGGATCTATTCTTACATCTGGAAATCTGGAATGTTTGTCTTTTGCTGGGAAGGGTACAGATTTGGGCATGGATACGATATGGGACAGAGCATTGGAAAAGCTGAAGGCTCCACACCCAATGTGGGGCTCAAACTCATGACCCTGAGGATCAAGAGTCTCATGCTCTACTGACTGAGCCAGCCAGATGCCCTGAAAAGAAATATTTGAAATTGTAAAGTTCTGGAGAATCTAGGATACAAAGTCACCATAGAGCGATAAGGAAATATGATAATAATCATACAAAGAACCAAAACTAATCAGCCTGACCAAAAGTCACTGTGTTCTTTCCCTGGTCTTTTCGCCCAGTCAGAAGGCATAGTCTCCGCTTTCTCAAGCTCACCTGGCAAGAGCAAGAGAGGGAACACAAGCAGAGGGAGCGGGAGAGGGAGAAGCAGGCTTCCCACTGAGCAGGGAGCCTGATGCGGGGCTCGATCCCAGGACCCAGGAACCATGACCTGAGCCGAAGACAGACGCTTAACTACTGAGTCACCCAGGCGCCCCGTAAAAACATTTTTTTAAATAAAAAAAAAAAAGATTTTGACAGGATGCAATGATAGATCCAAATCGAAAAGATAAAAGTTCATAGGGATGAGCATGTACTGCTCTAATTAGGTTCTAATTAGGTTTAAAAAAAATCACTTGCACAAAAATAGGAGGAGACCAGGTTTATAGAGTATTACAATATAATACTTCATGCCAAGAAAAAATCTTGGGTAGTCCTTAGAACATAAAAAAATGTCCAGAATGAGTAGTGTATGGCTATCAGTGTGATATTATACTACAGAAATATCAGGGGGATTGTGTTCAAAATGGGGCATCATATTGACCAATTGAGTGCAACCAGAAAAACTAAAAGTTTGAAATCGAGTTAAAAATTGGTAAAATAATTGAGGAGATAATGTGGAAAAGAAGATATAAGGTGTGGGAAGAGGCCATGAGGCCATGAAAGCTGTTTTCAGTATCATTTAAGGGCCACTACATGGTGGAGTTATCTTCAATACTGTGAAGAAATATATATGAACTTCCTTTTAAGCGACCCATAAAGCACCACACCAAAAGTCGGCAGTTGTTCCTGTTACCATTATCATACATAAAACTTTATTAATTAGTGTGCCCATGGGTATAAATTTAAGGAAGAAAATATAAAGCTGAATATAAAGAAAAACTTTCTAACAATTAAAAGCTGATCTTAAGAATGGGATGTATTGAAAGTGAGTGGTGGGGCGCCTGGCTGGCTCAGTATGCAGAGCTTGCGACTCTTGGTCCTGGGTTCGTGAGTTCAAGCTCCACGTTGGATGTAGAGATTACTTAAAAACATAAAATAAAATATCTAAAACGAACCGAAAAAAGAAAGTGAGTGGTCCAAAGGCTCAATGGCCATCTGTCAAGAGGGTTCTAAAGTATGCCTGTATTGGATTATATGCTGCAACAGGGATCTTTAAGGTCTATAGGGTGCAAGGTTGTAGAGTTGAGTTGTGTGCTGGAATACGTACATTTCAAATCTAAAAGGGCTACGGGTGTAGAATATGTATGCATTGGTTGTATGTCAGACATGCGAAGCCTATAAGGTCTACTTTCAAAGTTTCTGAGAGTTTTACATTCAAGTAAGGAGCATTCTTTCGAAGCTGATGTAATTAGCAGCCAAAGCAGTGGAAGGAGTAGCACTGGTAATAGAATGACAGAATTTTCTAGGCACTCCCCATATATCAACGTCTCCAACCCTCACAGCTAGCAGGCACATCATTATCCCCATGTTACAAATGAGGAAACTGCCAAGAAATTAAGCAATGTGCCCAAGTGTATATGTCATGAAAGTAAAGCAGAAACTTAACGATTGCAGTTCTGAGTTAATAGTGTTGACTTTTCATTAGTACCATGCAATTATTTTCATATTATCTTCTCAGACTCATTAATACTTTAATTTCTGCTTCGCTTTATTCTAGTAAATGAATAATTATTCCCTTATACAATCTGAAATATTAAAAGTATAAATTCATCTTCAAACTTAAAAAGTAGAGGAATAATTACTTTTCTTCAAGTGATTACATATTAATTTCCTGGCAAATATGATTTCAGTAGAGATAGGGGTGTAACTACATGTCCAGTGATTTTGAAGATTAATTTAGCAATAAGAATTAGCAAACCGTCCAGGCTGATCAATGGAATTCAGGGGACTGCTCAATTATTTAAATGGCAAGATTTGTGCATATGTGACATGCAGATTTCACATAATTCTCAAAGGCATCTATGGGCTAAAGACAGGTTAAAATCTGCCGATTTAGGTGTTTCTTCCCTTTTTCCTCAGGAAAATTAAGATATTTAGCCATGTTTGGTTCCATAATCCTTAGTTTATTATGATAATCTCCAAACTATATGACAAAAAGTGATGTGGGAATACTTGACAATCATCTAAATGTTACCTTTATTATTTTAGTATTCATAAATATCTAATCTTTAACTTCTGAAAAGCCTTGTTAAAAATAAAAATACAAAGTTTATTTCAAACTGATAAGCCTTTTGAAAACTAAAAGCAGAATTGTATTCTATTTAATTCCAAAATAATTAGTTTTCTTACCAGTTAATGACTCTTTTGCATCATCGTCTTTAGATTCTTCTTTAGATTCATCTGTTTCTGTACTATCATTATCGAATGACTGGTTAACTGGTTCACAGGGATGAACACTCTGGTCGTCCATAACTTTAAGTAGTAAGTAGAGAAATATGTTTGGACAAGTAAAAATAAAATCCATAAATATTAATATATGTGTAAAAAGAAAAATGAAACATAAAGCAAAAGAAATTCCATATTCACAAATAAATAGTAACTGGTAATAAGTTTGGGGGTAATATCTATAAGTACTAGAGATTATAAAACTAAATATTTAAAATTGTAAAAATCATATTTTTATTAGAAGAAAAAATAAAAGAATTCGAGAATGAAATACAAGTCCAACTACAAGTTACAACCTATAAAGTGTTTTCAAATATTAATTTTTTATGTTAAAGTTAACTTTAGTCCACTCCTAAAATTTTAAGAGAAGTATATACATTATATTCATACAAAAAATTAAAATACAGGCAGAACCTTTATAGACTCTTTAAAAAGCAACATAAACATTTAGGAAATGAATTTAAGGAAGTATTTTCAAAGTAGTTTACAGGTTTGATTTTCTTTAAGAACTCAACAGATTCCAATTAGGTAAAAGATATTTAAAATTTTATAATTGTAACTTAAAGTAATTTTCAATGTTTCCAGTGTATTTTTATCTTTGAGATGGATCATTAATATGCTGATCCTCACGTTAGTATCATACGCAGATCCTACTAAAACAACAAATAAGACTTAGTACAAATTTCATTCTAATGGCCTTATCTTCTGTCCTGCCTGAAAATTTTTTGTGTGTGTACAGTCTGACCAATATTAAAATGCCACTGTGCTTACAAGATAGGACTGCGGCTAACTTCTTCAAAAGCTAACTTTGCTCATGTGTACCTTTGCCGGCTTCTTCAATGACTTGTCTCACTGCTTTCTTTAAACTGTTTGCCCGCAACATTATTTCCTTTGGTTTGACAGCTTTCTGGGAGGGAGGTTTTGCAGGGTTATCCACGAGCTGTTCTTTGCTTTCACACAAGGATTCTTCACTGGAAGATTCCACGGTATCTTCTTCTACAATGAGAGAGTGGATGCCTGGGAGAACGGGGGCAGCCTGGGAATCCGTGTGCAGAGCTTGAAGCAGTTGTTCAAGCTTTTCATTTAGGACTGAACACTAAGAAAACAAAAATACAGCAATGAATCTCCATTGGATGGAAATGGAAAAGGACAATTTGAGTGAATCACTTCTGATTTTGTAGGAAAAGATGCCTATATTAATATTTACCAATTAATTGGCTATCCATTGTAAATTATACTTTAGACAGCTTATAGACTAAATAATTTATCATTTTTGTGAAAGAGCACAATTATGTAAATTTTTATGTGTCCTTCCAGAATACTCCAACTCTACCATCTTTATATAATTATTTTTCCTTAAAAGAAAATCTCTATCATCTTTACATAGGTATTTTTCCTTAAAAGAAAAGAACAAACACTTCACTTCAAAGTGACACGTTCCACAAAAAACTTATGCAAAACTTATACAAAATATTGTGTAAGCTTTTTTTTTTTCTAAAGTAATCGACGTATGGTACTGTTTTGAGCATCATAAACTGAAGGTCTGGGTTAGTCTTGGTAAGCTCTCCTTCAAAGCTTTGGTTGTGAAAGGGGTGAATGGTGTCTACGGGATTACTGGCTCAAAAAAAGAGCAAAAAGGAAAATGCACAAGGATAAAGAAGAAAAAGAAGATGCAGAAAGAAAAACATGCACTCTGCCCTTGTTTCTGTCAGCTTTTCTCGAATGACTAAGGGCAAAGAAACATGGAGGGCTGAAGCTATTGCTAAGACTGCCCTAATGCATCTTTTATCAACACAGATTCCCGTCCTTCCCTCCTCCATTTATTTGTCCTTGATGTCATGCTAAGACGAGACTACAGCAGAAATAGTTAAGAGAAAAAAATATGGCTAGAGGTCTTCTGTCTTCGGAAGTGCTCCACAGAAGAGAAAAATAAGAAAAAAGAGGCTGAAAACATCAAATGTCTGTTTATTTCTATTTCCTTTTCCTTTCACTCAATTAAACCACCAACCACAGCATAAATCTGGAGGAGATCATTCCTTTGCAAGCCCAAGAAAGCCAAACCTTTTGTAGGAATGCCCTGTCATGAACAAATGAAAGCAAAGAGAATAGCTTTTAAGGTTCTTACTTTAGCCTCAGAAAGTTCATAAAGGGGAAAAAAATCTATAAAGAAAAAGGCAAAACAAGAAACAGAACCCTGAAAGGGGCCAAGGACCATAATGCCTGGGGAACCCAAAGAACCAGGAGAGGAGGGAGCCTGATGACCAGTTTGCCTGGAAATGGAAAGCCATTCCTCTCCCCACTGGAACACCAGCCGCCCAGCCTTTTCCCCCACGTGACCCTGCTGCTGAGCATTTCTCCTTGGAGATGTCAATCTGTGGGAAAAGGGAGTTGATATAAAATTCAGGTTGTCGAATGGTCTTCAGCAATGCAGTTTTCCTACATATTCCAGGGTAACTGTAAAATAGAATATATTTTAATCCCTTATATCTGATTCCAAAGTAGTTTTTCTCTTGATTTAAGATGTTTTGGCAAGAAAGTCACTTAATCAATTTAGCTGTGAAACAGTACAATGTTAAGGTTGTCAGTAAAAAACTTGCATGCCCCGAAGGTGACCCCCTTACTTTACTGGCCACGGCGTCGGCTGCAACGGCGTTTTCCAACGTTTTTTCATAGGCCTTCTCTACTTTGGCAACAAAGTCCTTTACAGTTTCACAGAGTATCCTTGGAGGAAAAGAAATTGTGCAATTCAGTAAACCCCGTAGACTGGGTTGGTTTGATTTACAAACATATTTAAAAACAAGCACAATTAGGTAAACTCTCAAAGCATAGGGACCATTTGTATATAAAACCCATACTTCTACGTGCTGTGTAACACGTACTAGAAGTTCCAGACATTCTGAATTACAAATGGAAATGCACACGAATAAACTTTGCTCTGTGTAAATTAACTGATCGTCATTTTAAGGTCATAACAAGCCTTTCTCAAATATTTAAATTAAATTCTTGAGAAGAGTATTTGTAGATCTCATAAAAAAAATAAGCATTATGTTCAGTTAGCCAACATATAGTACATCATTAGTTTTTGATGTAGTGTTCAACAATTTATTAGTTGCGTATAACATCCAGTGCTCTGATAAAAAAAATTTAAAAAATTTAAAAACCACACAAGATATCACTAAAAAAATAAGCATTATCTCCAGCACCTTACATATTTTCATAACAGAACTTGCAATGTTAAAAAAAAAAGGATAAATTTGTCACTTAATGTTGTCACTGTCACTCTACTATTCATGATCCAGGTATCCTGAAAGTATATTGTTCCTGAAGAGGAAAGAGATTGTGTAAACAACCTGCCACTTGAATTGAGTTATATTCTCCATAAATCCATTCATTTTTTTCCTTAAGGTAACCAGTACAGTCATATGCAAGACTAACTTAATTTAGATCTTGTTAGTGTCAACAATATATGGTTTACTTGTTTGTTGCTTTTAATTACATTTGGTTTCTTTGCAATAGAAATAGATCAAAAGAAAAAATAATCTGAAACCCTAACACTAACTAAAATCTATCTTTCAAAAGTCTTTGGGAGTGGTGCTGGATTACAAACAACCCAACAGAATGGTATGTGACCAGTTTTTTGCAGCAAGGGCTAACAGTGATTCTGAAAACAAAATCAGATGATATTAAAATAATAGTATTTCTCTTTTTATGGATACAGACTGAGAAATTTGAAGGAAAAAAACCCAGGTTCCAGCAATTATTTTTTTCTATTAAACTCACAATTTTCTGTTATGTGAGTGACATAATGATTATATTTCCAGATATTCAAATATTATGACATCAAGCCATTCAATAGATACAGCACACACACACACACTCCAAACCTTCACATTTATCAACTAAAAAATGAATTATTCCTAAGAATTTTTGTTTGTTGTTTTTTGGTAACCATTTCTAGATTTTTACTTGGACAAA